GTCCTCCAAAAGTTTGGTGTTTTAGAGCTTAGTTCTCTTTGTGAGGTCTTACAAGATTGAAAATAATCCAATTATTGAGTTTAGAGGTAATTCTCTGGGGAGGTGATTAGGATTAAATTTGTCGGGGTGAAGAATTGTGGTCCAGCCTGATGAATTTGTAAAAACGAGAGAACCCAGAAAGAGACAAATATATACACTTGTGTCTCTTGCTATTTGATGTCCTACGCCACCTCAGGATCCTTACCCATGTGGTTCCTTGTCTCTGGAGCTCCATTAGCCAAATTAAACCTCTTTTGTTGTAAGTTAATCTGTTTCAGGAATTTCAGGGGAGATGGTTTTGAACTAAAATGCTTTCTTTCAACTGGGTTTCATGGTTTCTATTTCCTTCCTTCCTTTCCTTCCTTCCTTTCCTTTCTTTTTTCTTTCCTTCCTTTCTTTTCTTTCTTTTTTTCTTTTTTTTACTCTTTCTTTCTTTCTTTCTTTCTTTCTTTCTTTCTTTCTTTCTTTCTTTCTTTCTTTCTTTCTTTCTTTCTTTCTTTCTTTCTTTCTTTCTTCCGTTCTTTCTTTCTTCCGTTCTTTCCTTTCTTTCTTTCTTTTTGTGGGGCCCAAACACTGGGCCTAGGCCCTGTCTCTCAGCTCTTCAGCTCAGGTGAGCACTCTACCACTTGAGCCAAAGCACCACTTCTGGCTTTTTAAAAAACTTTTATTGTGAAAAAAAACTGCACAGAGGGGTTACAGTTATATGAGTAAGGTAATGAGTACATTTCCTATCAGGCATTGTTACCTCCTCTTTGTTTTTCCCCTACCATCCCTTCCCTCCCACCTCCACAACTACACTCACTTCGGGCTTTTTCTGCTTATGTGCTGCTGTGGAATCGAACCTAGTGCTTCATACATGCAAGGCAAGCACTCTACCACTGAGCCACCTTCCCAGCCCCTCTATTTTCTTAAGTTACAAAAAATAAACATTTTCAGTTCCAGGTACCCAAAACTGTTTTTATTTTGTTCCCAAACTATGTTTTTAGTTTGACTGGGTAAATTCAAGAATTTACCCAGAATTCAATACAGTACATTATTTCCACGGCATTTGAAAATCCCATTCTACTACCATCCTACTCCCCGGGGTTGAAATGTAGTGCTGCTTTTATTTCTATCAATTTGTGTATTTTAAGTGTTTTCTGAAGGAATTTGTTACCTTTTCACTTTTCTTTGCCCTGGTGATTTCTTTGAACTTGAAATTACTTTATTTTAGTCCTATCCTACTTCTTCTAAATAATTTTCTTTGCTTTTTGGGAGGACAATTAGATTGCAGAGCTTCTGTATTTTCCCTATATTGTATTATTTTAAATCATGTATTATACTTTTATTTTTATTTTGTTAGATGTTTTTGACAAAACAAGGATTTGGACTCTGGATTTTGTATTTTGTTAGATGGACAGATTACCACGAGATATTGCCTCCAGCCCTGATTTTTTACAACTTATTTTGGAGATGGATTTCTAGTTAACTTTTGTGTCCAAGATGGTTTTGAACCAAGATCCTCCTGATCTCAGCTTCTTGAGTTGCTTGGCTTACATGTGTGAATGACTCATAGCCATCCCCATCTTATTGTGTATTTAAGCGATTCTACTTTTGAGAATTTATCTCCTTATATTCAAACACTTTTAATGACATTTCTTGCTTAAATAAACCTTCTAGTTTAGGACATTTCTAGATCTATGACAAAATTAAAGATAAAACAGTGTCCTCAAATATCTCATACCCAGTATCTTCTGTTGTTAATGCAATGTACCCTTTCAAAACTAATGTGGCCATATTAACATTTTATTGTGTATGTGTTGTTGTTACTTTATGTTCCATCTGTTTCTATCTAACCTTTTCTTTTTCTGTTTCAGAGTTTCATCCAGAATTTGATGTCACATTTAGTCATCCAGAACTTGATGTCACGTTTAGACACCCTGCCTTTTTGGACTTGTCAGGGCTATGGCACTTTCTCCGAATTACCTTGCTTTTGATAACCTTGGTAATACTGGTTATGACCTTGAGGAGTATTTTGTAGAAAGTCTCTCAGGCATTTTTCAGGAAGTCATTGGTTTTTCCTGGTATTTATCTCCTGCTCACACTGGAGTTAAAGGGCTCTGGGAGGAAGATGACACCAGCGATGGGCCATTTTTCACTTCACATCAAGAATACATACAAGCAATACGACTTATCACCACGGATGTTAACCCTGAATACTAGTTAAGGTATGGTTTGCCAGGCTTCTTCATTGCAGGGTGACTATTTTTCTCTCCATATTGCACTCTTGGAAACCAAATCTCAAGTGAAATCTGTATTTGAGGGTTGGGAATATCATATATCTTTGAGGAATTAGTGTCTGTAAATATGTATAATACATATATATATTTATATGTATTATGTGTATATATAGATTTATATACACACATATGTATAAACATATGCATGTGTGTATGCATGTGTGCAAATGTATTCATATGCGTGCACACATGCATTATAACACATATGTGTACATGTATGTTTATGTGTATACATTTACATGTGTATATGTGTGTGTACATGATCCTTTAATAGATATTTGGGTTTCTGTGGGGGTTTTGGGTCAGATGTAGGGTTTGAACTCAAGGCCTGGACACTATCCAGGCCCTATCCCCTCAAGGCTAACTCTGTACCACTTTGAGCCACAGTGCCACACCAGTTCCAGTTTTCTGGTGGTTAATTGGAGACGTGAGTCTCATGGGAACTTTTCAATCTAGGCATCAAACTGTGATCCCGAGAGCTCAGCATCTTGAGTAGCTAGGATTAATTACATGCATGAGCCACCAACCCTCAGCTGATATGTATGTTTTTTACATATTTTTAATTTGGGCTATTTTCCTCATTATTTTGGTGAATGGAAGTTTTTCCTATTGTAACTCACAAGGATTTTTTTAAAAAATCAAATGCAGTTTTTGAAAAATGCAGTTTGTTATTTATTATTCTCTCATATATCATGCTTTGAGTATCCTGTTCAGGTAATCTCTGCTTACTCATAATCATTAATATAATCTCAGTTTTATTCCAGAAATCCATAGTAAATTTATGTGATATGCAATCAACATGTTTTTGCTTTTCTTTGTATAGCATTGTATAATATATATTGTGTACAATCCAGTATTATATAATTTTCCAAAAATATCTTGTACATGTCTATTTCATACCTTCTATTCTCCTCCATTATTCAATTGACTAGACTTACCATTATTCAATTGACTAAACTTACTGGCCAATACTGTAGCTTTATTTAGAAAAGAAAATCTTCTTTTAGTACAAATATTTTAATATTGTTTTATTTTAATGTTCTCTGCTCAACAATTCATATATATATATATTCAGATATGCATATTTATCCATGTTACTCACATAACTGTTATAAAGAGGATGCCATTTCCCTTAAGGAAACAAAAAAAACCCTGTACCAGGTTTTGGATTTTCCATGTTCTTATATATAGTATAGGTTCTGATATGCAAGAAGATACAAGTGGTATTTTGGATTGCACTTGGTATTGTGTTACTTTGTTGAATTCGCATTTTAGTGTCATCTTGAGATTATTTCTTGAATGTCCAATATACATTAAGTGTATATAATGTACATAAAATCTTACTTGCAATTATAATTTTTGTTTTCCCAACACACATTTTGCCCCTGTGATATACTACACTAGCTAGATCCATCATTGCAAAATGATTGCAGTTTGAAATCTCAGAAACCTTTGCTTCCTTCTAGCCTCAAGGGGGCTGATTTTTTTAAAACTGATTCTGATTCGAGTCGGTGGTACTGGAGTTTGAACTCAAGGCATTATTTGTGACACATCTCAAGCCCCTTATGACTAGAGCTATTGTTCATATAGGATCTTGGGCTTTTCCCCTGCTGGCCTACACTCAAATGACTATTCTGCCACCTATATATATCTATAGTTGGGATTAAAATTGTGCTCTAACATGCCTAGCCCCCAAATCTTTCTCAAGTATAGAAATTATTGCAGTTTTAAAATAACACACAATTCTTTATTTATAAGAATAGTAAGAAAATGGTGCTTTAAAAATAGATGCTGCTGAACACTATCAATTATTTTTCATTTATGAAGGTGAGTATATGTTTTTCTTCTGTGTTCTCTTGATGTAGTAGATTGCATTGATTAGTTCTTTTCATGGTAAAGTATGAACTGGTTTTACATCTGTGGAATAAATTTTACCCAGGTGTAATATTTTAATTCTGAAGGAGCCTTAGTTATGTTTCTTTTTGAATACTTTCAACTCTATTCATTTGATAAATTGCCTTTTATGTCTATGAACATCTTGTGATGTTCTTTAGCTAAGGGGCTTAAAATTGTGTCACAGTGTTCTTTATCAATTCTCTGGAAAATTTCCTGAATGGTGCGCATCCCTTTTTCTATGTTTGGATACATTAACCAGGGAAAAACAGCTAGGACCAGAAATCCTTCTTTATAAAAGAAATATTTAATTGCAGATGACCCTCTATAATGCATATATTAAAAGTTTTAAATTTTCTATTACTTCTGAGCTTTGATATATTGTTTTATTTTTAATAAAAGTTTTATTTAATTGAACAGCCCCATGCTAATGTTGACTAGGATGGTTTTTTTCCTCTGCAATCATTGTCTACTATTTATTATATTTTACCATTCTGCCTTTTTTATTTGTGTGGGGTGGCTGTCCTTGTCTTTTTCACTTTTATAAGTTGATTTTTCACTCTGGGGACATTTTATTTTACTTTATGTTGTTTATTGTTATTGTACAGTTGATATAAAAGGGTTACAGTTACATGAATCAGGTAATGAGAACAATTCTTTTTGAACCATGTTTCCCCTTCCCTGGGTCTCTCTCTGTTTTTCTCCTCTGTCCCCACCCACAGATGTACAGTTCACTTTCTACATAGTGTTTAATAAGTACCACTGTTGTATTTGTTCATCCATGTTACACCTTTTCTGTGATCCCTCTTATCCTCCCAAATACAACAAACAAATAAGACAAAAGGAAAAGAGAACAAAAACAGCAACAATGACAACTAAAAATTGTGTGTTTCATTTCCTTAGAGTTCTTCTCAGAGGAAGAAGTAAGATTGGCCAATAGACACATGAAGAAGTATTCAACATCTCTGGCCATAAAAGAAATGCAAATCAAGACAACATTGAGATTCCACCTCACCCCAGTTAGAATGGGCATTATCAAGAGAGCCTGTAACAAATGCTGATGGGGACATGGCCAAACGGGAACTCTATTACACTGTTGGTGGGAATGTAAACTTGTTCAACATATTGTTTCATATAGAGAATTTACTCATTTCTTAGGAACTTCTATTGACACAGTGGATTCTTATTATCTTCTTTTTCTTTTTCTTCTTCTGATAAAGGAAATGCTTATCTTGGAAATAAACCTTTTCAACAAATGCTTTGAGAAACTGGACGTCACCAAAAGACAGAAACTGGGTCCATGACCCGCAGTTAGCACTAATATCAACTTAAAACAGTCAAAGACTTTAATACAAGACCTGCAAACTTGAAAGTACTACAGGAAATATAGAGGAAACAATGGAATACATTAATCTCTTATATAATTTGTAATGTATATAGGAGCAAATCAGATCTAGAAAGTGGTTATATGTGTTCTGTTTCCCCTTCAGTTTAATATAAATTTATTTTATTAGTCTTTTCAAGGAATTAACTTCTAATTTTCCTGTTATTTTTGTTGTGTATTTTTAATTGATTTTTTGCTGTTGTATATATTATCTGCTTTCTCATACATGTGTTTAATTTCACTTCATTTACATGATGCTTCATTTTATTTACATAATATTTATATAATTCATTTTCAATCTTGGTTTTCAGATAGATAGATAGATAGATAGATAGATAGATAGATAGATAGATAGATAGATAGATAGATGGGTTGATAGATATGGACATGGTTGTAAATTCCCTTTTATGCACAACTTTATTTTCATTCTAAAAGTCTGACTATATTTTATTTTTGTGATTATTTATTTCAAAATATTTTGAATTTTGTATTTGAACTTAGAAATGTCAATAAAACAAAAAAATGTCTTGTCTGATTTCTAAACATTTGGAGAGTAATGTTTTGATTTAGATAGGATCTCACTATGTAGTCTTTCTGACTTCAAGCTCGTGACCTTCTTCATCAAAAATACTGGTATTATTGATGTGTGCCACCACACTCAGCCTTTTGGGGAGTTTTTTTGTTAAATAGTGTTTTTGTTTTATTTGTTTTTGCATCAGTACAGAGAGGTTTGAACTCAGAGCCTGACACTGGCTGGGCTAATGTTCTATCTGCTAAGCCACACCTCTATCCTGGGTTTTTGCTTGTTTATTTGGGGAGAGTTACATAAACATCTCAAACCATCATCCTCCATATCTCAACCTCCTGAGTAGCCTGAATTACAGCTATGAGCCACCAGTGCCCAGCTTCTGTGATTAGCTTTTGCTATGTGTCCTGACTTAATTTTAATATAGTAAGAGAAGGTACTCTGCATAATAACAACCCTTTGAAATTATTTTGTTCTTGGTTTATGGCTCAATATAGTCTATTGCTTCATGAACTACATTCTGTATGACTTTGAAAATGTGAATTATTTAGACATTGGTATAGTGTTCTAGTATGTAAATTAGGGCAATTTTGTTAACCACGTTGTACATATTCATTTATGCCTACCAAATATATCTGCTGTTTATAAGTGCTGAAAGGTGTTAAAATTCCTAACAATTATTTTTGATTTGTCAGTGAATTTTTTCTATGAGTTTACTTTTGCTTTTTGCATTCTAAGGCTAGATTCCCAATTATATACAATTTTATCAGGTCATATTTTATGTCCTCCTATTGTTATGAAATGTCCCTACTTATATTTAGCAATGTTTCTTTCCTTATACTCTTGTTTGTGTCAAAAATCTATTTACTGTTTAAAAATTTTTGTTTGCTTGCAACATATTTCCAACCTTTAATTAACAATCTTGTGTTCTTTTAATCAAGAAGTATCATTTATAAAATGTATATAATTAGGCTTAATTATATTATCTTGTTTGATATGACAATCTTGGTATATTAATATATTAGTATTTTATTAGTAGTATTATACATAAGTATATATTATTTATTAGGATTATATATTATATATTATGAAGTTGTTAATGCATAAGGTTAATGCAATTTATGGTACATTTTATTTTTTTATCTGTGGTGTGATTATTTGCTTTGCATGTGTCTATTCTGTTTTTTCTTTTTTCTTGTTATGTTACAATTCTCAAGTAATTTTATTTACCATATTCTGTTATTGTTTTATGTATGTGATTACAAAGATGAAAAGAGACTCATCAATTACCTAGTAAACATTACTTAATATTAATATTGTATTATTTATAATGTAAACAACTTCCTGATTGACGTTGCTGCTCTATCTTCATGCCTTCATGCTATCTATCCTAAATATCACAGGCAACTTTATTGCTTTAAACATTTCATAACCTTTCAGCTTCATATAAATACTCACCATTTTCATTTCCGAGAAAGTTTATTATGTTCTGTAAGAAAGCTTCTTTTTAGAATTTGCTTCTGTGCTGATAATGCTGATGGTGCAATCTGTGGATTTCATTGTATAAAACTCCTTATTTTCCTTTTATTCTGAAGCTTATTTTCCTGAGGTATACAATTCCCAGGTTAGAGTTACTAGTTATCGTTTTGTAGATTTCATTATGTTCTTCTCTGGTTTCCATTTGTTTCTATTGAGAGGGCAGACATCAGTCTCCTGGCTTCTCCTTTGAAGGCAGAAGATCCTCCCCCTCTGGCTGCTTTTAAGATTTCTCTCTTTTTCTCTGGTTTTCAGAAGTTCTACTATGATATGCCCACGTGTACACTTCTTTGTACTTAGATCTCTGGGGCTTTACAGATCATCTTGGATCTGTTGCTTCATAATTTAAAAATCAAGTTTGGAAAAGCTTTGCTTTAGAATCCAGTTGTTAAGGGCATTGGGCTTTTTGTTATTGCTTTTCTTTGTTTGCTGCTGAGTGTAAGTAGGGATATGGGGGCTTCAAAGCACCTTCTACACTTTCTTTTTGTGTGTATATGTGTTCATAATAGGGCTTGAACTCAAGAGCTCACATTCAGCTTTCTTGCCTTAGCTTTCTTGCTTGCTGATGGCACTCGACCACTTCAGCCACATCTCCAGTCTGGAATTCTGTGGTTAACTGGAGATGGACTGTCACAGATTTTTCTGCCTGAGCTAGCTCAGAACCTTAATCTGCCAGGTCTTAGCTTCTTGAGTAGCTAAGATTATAGGCAGAACCACTAGTGCTCAGCTCACTTTCTGCACATATCTAAGATACTTTTTCAACCTTTTGTGCTCTTCTTATTGAGGGACAGTGGGTTGAATTTCAAAAAAAAAAAACCAGCAATATTGATATGTGGAATAGAAGTTGTATTTTGAAATTAGATTTTTGCTAAAATTTCAACCAAAACCATAAGGACTTGCCACAAGATAGTTTAGTTTTAAAAGTCTTCCAAACTGACCGAGCTTTGCGTTCATGCAGTGGTTCACAAGCCAACAGAGATCATGATACCTACTTGGGTTACTGAAACGTTTTTGTTTAAGTTTTTACTCTATCTTTTCTTTCCTTCTATTCCAAATAGTTCTGGTTGAGAGTGGGAAAAAAAGCATGTTAATTACAAACGTTTCCTCAATGAGTGATTAATTGCTTTAAAACAAGGAGAAAGGTGAATAGTAAATGCAAGAACTTTCATCTTTTATGCTAATAAATGATAGGAAAAAATGTTGTCCCTAGATAAAAGCTGTGCATCAAGTGTCAACAATTATTCTTCAGAAATTGCCTAATAGGTAATCTAGAGGGCATGGTTAATGTTCACTTGTAAATGTCATTTAAAAATTCAAGTACTTAAACTAAGAAGAAAATTACCTTTGCTATTATAGATTTATTATTTGTGATTGACATCATCAGGCCTGTTCTCAACCTAGGACAATGGAGATGGGATATGCTGCTGAGGAAAGGGCCTGTGTGAAGTTTTCTTGCAGTGTTGAATACTCAACAGTCACTATCTACAGATATAAATACTGATCATATATGTATATGCATGCTATACATATATTATTAGTATTTTATATACATATACAATGTTATATATACAGTATGTACTATATTCATAATGCATGTATAGTATATACATTTATATATAAATGCATATATACATTTATAAGTATATTATATATGTATATACATTGATATATATGTACATATACATGTATATAAGCTTATATATACGCTATGCATACTATATATGTATGTACAGCACACTATATGTATATATGCATACCATATATTTATATACTATAATATTATGTACACTATACATATATCATTTACCCTTACTGGTTTTTCTGCATGTGTTGACCTTGATAGCTCCTAAGCCTCACCTGTGATAGTAGAGTGAAGCAAAATCTCTGAGAGACTGAGGAATCTGCATTTAGACAGTGATTCCAGGTGTTTCTTAGATATCACATTTGGAAACCCATGTGCAAGGGGAAGGAAGGGGATGGTGAGTTGCTCAATGAAACTGTTCTATTTAGTAAAGTGAGAACATTAGTAAGAACATGCAAATCCCAATAGTGCATCTGGTAGATGAACTCTAATCTCTTCCCTATTCAAACCTCATTTCCTCTTTCAACAATGCCTTCTGCTGCAATCAGGAACCATTCACCGAGCTGTTCTTTGAGTTATTTATTATTTGTGCCTATCAGCTTGATGGATAGAGGAGCAGTCTCTGGAGCAGACACACATGACCTATTTTCCTTCTCCTGCCTTCTCTCCCGTGGGAAAATCTGCAATGGATCATTGAGTTTTGAGTTGGTTTACACTAGAGATGGCAAAATTAATTGTAATTTAAACTGCATAATTGTGTTCAGTGCCAAACACAAAGGATGTTGTGAAATACAAATATATTTGCCTTTTTACCTTCTTCTATTGCACTAAAAGATTACAGGGTACTCCAAAAACATGAGAATATATATTAAAATCTATATCTATATCTATAGTTATATCTCATTATATCTATCCATATCTACCTGTCTATCTACAACCTACCTACCTGTCTATTTTCTCTCTCCCTCTTCCTGCTGATGTCCCATCCAGCATCCTTGAACTTGAGTTAATTTCCCTTAGAGAACTTTACTTTTCCTCCTCTTAGTTTTAGCTTCAGCCCTGTGGCCTTTGTCATTGAACTTGTGAATTACAGCCTCCTCAAGCAATGGGAACCAGCCTTCAGCCATCACAGAGACTCTCTGTATGCTCTTCTTGCAGACAGACATTCTCACCAAATCCTGTTCCTCACATTTCTGGAACAAGCAATGTCCATCCTCTTTTCAACACTTTCCTGCCTCTCTAGATTTATGTCACTGGAATTCATCACATCCCAGCCTCGGGGTGTATTTCCTAATGAATTTTTAAAACAAGAAGGACATTCTCTTGTGGTTAAGAAGCTAAAATAACTTCTTACATTTGTTTGAAGCATACAAAAGCCCTTCCACAATGCTGACCGAGGAGGAGTGGGGATGGATGGCAGATGATGCCACTTGGTATACTGGTAAAAGTAGAACTGAAAGGAATCAGGTTGGATTCAATTTTAGGCAAAGTTCAGGAAAAGCTGCATGGAACAGAAGACTGTCAGTTCATGTAGTTGCTATGTAGAAATATGGCTTCATTGTCTTTGTCACTAAACTTACGAAGTGGTAGTGATGTTAAAAAAACTAAGGATCGGGGCTCCAATGTCAGATCATCTGGTTTAAGATTCTGTATTTGGCATGCTCCATTACATCTGCATTCTCCGATCACCTCTATTGCGATGTAAAGCAGAAGAATATCATCAAATACTGAGATATCTGAGTTTCTTAATTCTGCAAGGATTGGATTATCCTGATTTCTTTGTGTTTTCTGCCCACTAGAGTATTTACCTTGCCTTACCATGCTGGTAAGACTCTGACACTTGGTATATACAGAAGAGCAATTACATCTGGATAGTGATGGCTTCACATTTGTAATCCAAT